GATTAGTTTAATAAAAAAGAATACATTTTAAAAATATGGATAAGTTGTTGTTGTTATGTGCCATCAAGTTGCCTGCGACTCATAACGACCCTATGTACAACAGCCCTAAACCCTGCTCTATCCTGTACCAATCTTATTGTCTCTGACACACCTACTCCCAATTACCCCAGTCACTGAATCAATCCATCTCATCGAGGGTCTTCCTCTCCTGCACTGTCTCTTCACCCTCCCAAGTATGATGTCCCTCTCCAAGGACTGGTTCCGCCTTGTAACATGTCCAAAGTATATCAAAGCTTCAGAATCCTTGTCTCTAAGGAGCAGCCTGGCTTCACCCTCTCGAGGACAAACCTATTTGTTCTCCTAGCAGTCCATAATATATTCAACACTCTTCTCCAGCACCACAACTCGAAAGTCATTAATTCTCCTTCTATCATCCCTAGTAGTTGTCCAGCTTCATCATAAATAATCAAAATAAAGATTAGTAGATGAATGAATAAAGAGACCTTTCGATAAAAATTAGTGAATCAGAGTATAATAATCAAATAATGAGAGTGATTAATAGAACTATGGAGGGCATATTCATCTAAAATTTAAAAACAAGGATTAAGTACAATTTTAGGTAAATAATAAAAGGAACAAAAATATAAACAATTATTAATAAAAATTAATATAAATGAAAAATTTCAGTACATAACTGTTGTTGTGTGCCATTGAGTGAGAACCAACTCATAAATGATCCTCCAGTGGGTTTTCAGATGCAGTAAACCACACAGGAGGAGACAGCCATCCTTCTGCTGTGGAGTAACTGGAGGGTTCTGGTCTTGGCCCTTTGGTATTGCAGTGCAGCTTCTTACAATAGGCCAGCAGAGCTCCCCTGTACACAAGTAAATATAAAACAGTAAAAGTAAGAAGGTAAGATAACATGTAAAATCTCTTAAAAGAAATAAATAGTTTATTATATAAAGAAGTCATTAAAAAGTGCATAAAAAGAAAAAAATACTGTCACAGAGGAAAAGCTCAATACCCTGTTACATTCAGAGCAAGGAGGCTTACTGAGGATTGAAACAGCTGGAACTAGGGTATTCTTTTACACAAAATGACCCTCAGGAATTCTGGAGCTAGCAAATTTTGTATTAGCTGACAGCTACAAAACAGAGTAAATTTCCAGCAAAAACCATAAATAATCAAAGTCTCAAGTTTTGACACCTGGCTTTGGCAAGATGTATTGACAACACTGAGTTTAGACCACAGCCTTGACTCGGTGTTTCCAAAAGTGCAAATAGCATCTTTCTTAGTCTTTTAAGTCACTGGACAGCCTTACATGGTCAAGATAGCCCAAATACCTCCATTTTAGGATCTGCCTATGATAACATAAATAAATACATAAAAATCAGTGGCCACTTAGAATCCTTGACCACAGAGTGCAGACTGTGAGCTCCCTGCAGACTCCTGTGGAAACTATGGGCAGCTGGACTGGTAGAGGACCAACCGGCAGGGCTAGGGTCAGAGGGAAGCCTGCTCCACCTGAGGTGCTGTGGTAGGATGGTGGGGAGTTTTAGATGTCACTCTCTCTCTTCTTATCCTACAACCTAGAAATGTTGAGGGAGAACTGGATCCCTTGCAGACCTTGTGGGAAGGAGACGGGGCCCATCATGAGAGGATAGGAAAAAGCCATCCTGGGCCATGAGAGCTCCTCTCAGTATGTGTCTCTGTGTATTTGTACATGTGCATGAATGTAAATTATTGTTGTCAATTGCTGTTCAGTCTAACACAATTCATAGCGACCCTATGAACAGAAGGCTTAAAACCTTTCTATAACTATTGTCATTTATCAAAGTTTGTAGAGTTTCCCAGGGTATGTTGTTTAGGAAGTGAATTCCACTCCTGCTTCCAAATGGATGCACATTATTAGTGCACATCTATAAGCCTGTACATGTATGCACTTGTGTACATATTTTGCATGTGTGTGAGGATACACATATGTATACAAGTGAATGTGCATGCACATATACGTGTGGATTGATGTATGTGTATGTGTGAGTGCACATGGGAAAGCCTATGGGTATGGATGTACCCATATGTATGTGTATCTGCAAACACATGTGTATCTGTGTGCTTGCACATAGTCATGTTCACATTCACACCCTGGCAGGCATCCTGGCCTGAGGGTCTACTCAGATGGGCTGGATGTCTCTTGTCTCAGTGGATTTCTGGTAGCTGACACATGCAATTCACATCCCTCACCTGCTCCTCTCTGGGGACAACCCGGTGGTTGGCAGGAACAATGGGTTGGGGATCCAGGCCCTAATGCAGAGTACATGGTGGGCAGGATGAACAGTAGAGCATGGACAGTGACCCAGGCAGCCCTCTAGGCGCAGATGACCAAGCTCAGTGAGGAGATGAGCCTGTATTTCCTGAAGAGGGAGGCCAAGCTGTGTGGTTTCCTGCAAAAGAGCTTCCTAGCTGTGGAGAAGGTACTGGAAGAGCGGGAGGGTGGGCAGGTTGGGGTGCAATGTGGGCAGGCCAAGGGCAGGGTGTGAAGGTGAGAGTGGGGCAAGGTGTGGGTGTGGTTTTGGAGGGGCAGGGTTGAAGGACATCCCCATGGGGCTGCAGGCAGGGCAGGGTGAGGCTTGGATGTGAACGGAGTGGATGGTAAGGTGTGGGGTCCAGTGGATGTGGGCAGGGCCAGGAAAGGACTTTGGGAGAGAAGCAGGAGGATAAGAGGTATAGCCAAAGGGCAAAGCAGCAGAGGTGTGGATGTGGCCACTGGACGAAGAGAAGGGTCAGAGTGGAGTGGGGTCAGGGGCTGCGGGTCCTGTGGACATAGCCTTGACCTCCTGGTGGAAGGGCACCCTAGGGTGTGCTGCCTCACAAACAGAGGTTGCCCATAGAAACTGAAGGCAGAGGAGAGAGCCCGGCTGCAGACAGAGGCCAGCCTGTGGGAGGAGCTGGAGAACCGCTGGCAGGTGCTGCAGGGGTGCTGTGAGGAGAAACTACAGGCCCTACGTGGGCAGCACGAGGTCAGAGGTCTGGGACCCAGGGGCAGTGGGCTTCTCAGAGGAGAACTAGATTTGGCTTCATACGAGTCACAGGGCCTCTCTGCCCTCAGCAGGAAGAATCGCGCCTCCAGGAGCAGTGTCGAGGCCTGGACAGAGCAGTGATCCAGTTGACCAAGTTTGTGCGGCAGACCCAGGTGTTGCTTGACCACGTTCTGCAGACCCGGTGGGTGTGCAGTCAGGGTCAGGAGGGGGAACTTTTGGAATAGATCAGCATGGAATGGCCCCAGCAGCCCCTGCAAAGAACTAGGCCCAGTGGAACAAGAGGCAGGGAGAGAGGGGTGGTCCGCCCTTGACCAAGGACACAGCCTGAGAGTTTCCCTCATGGACCCTCCTTGGCTTTCCTGGGGTTCCCTTCACTGCCTTGATGCTGAGGTTCCTTTGTCTTGATGACCTGATGCCAGGGATGCCAGGGGACATGTGGAGGAAATCCAGGCTGGAAAGCTGACCTCCTACCTGCAGGAGAACCTAGAGGCTATGAGGCTGGCCAGAGAACTGGCCCAGCAGGAGGCGCACAGCACCATAGAGTTGGTGAGAGGAGTCAGGGCCAGATCTGATGGGCAGTGGTGGGCAGGGATCAGACACATGTCCACAGCTGGGCCTCTCTGCCCCCCTCTGCTGCCCACAGCTCCAGGAGAAGTGCCGGGCTCTGGAGCTATTAGCTGCAGAGCTGTCCCAGCAGGTGAAGGACCTGGGTGACCACCTGGTGGCCCTGAACTGGAGGCTAGACATACATGAGCATACTCTGAACCTGCAGCTGTCAGAAGTGAGTGCTGGGTGGTCCACCAGGAGGAGCAGGCCACCACAGAAAGATCAAAGTCCCAGAGGATGGCCTGAGCCTCTCACCCACCCTGGAGATCTCCCTGTGAGGGTCTGGCCAACCTGCCTGACAGCCTCTCATTTCAGAGTCCACTGATGAGGCTGGAAGGCATGGAGATGGCATGGGGCCCCAGAAAACCTAGCAGCCTGGGTCCCAGGTAGAGCAGCTGGCTTTGGTTCATTTTTAAAATAGAACATTAAACTCACTGCCTCAAGTCAATTCTGGCTCACAGCCACCCAGCGGCACAGAGGAGAGCTGCTTTGTAGGGTTTCTGAGGCTGTAAGCTTTACAGAAGCCAACTACCTCATCCATCTGTCTCAGAGCTGCTGGTGGATTCAAACTGTTGACCTTCTGGTTACAGAAGAGCTTTTAGCCAGTGCCATCAGGTCTCTGAGATCAGCTTTGTTGAGATCTAGTTTATATAAAGGAGCTCTGGTGGCCTAGTGGTAAAAAGCTTTACTGCCAACCTGAAGGCATGTGGTTCGAGTGCACAAGCTGCTCCACAGGAGAAAGATGGGCAAACAACGTCCTTGCAATTTACTGGCTCTGAAAATCCACTGGAAGGTCAGCTATGGGTTGGTTTTGACTCGATGGTACTCAACATCAGTTTGTGTAAAAAACAACCACCACTCAGTATGAAATCGTAGCTGACTCTCACTAGGTTTTCCAAGGCTATAAATCGCACAGGAGAAAACTGTCCATCCTTCTCTCTCAGAGCAGCTGGTGGGCTCCGATTGCTGACCTTTTGGTCAGAGACAAAGTCTTTAACCATTGCACCATGAGAACTCCTAGCCTCACCTTACCCACTATTGTCAAGTCCTGACTCATGGTGGTCCTCCCTGGTGGATTTTCCAGGTTATATAACAGAAGTATATGTTACTGTGAGATGCCATTGATTTTGTTCCAACTCATAGCAACCTGATGTACAGACCATGAAACCCTTCTGAGTCCCACACGGTCCTCTCACAGTCATGCTGTGACTGTGTCACTTGGGCCCATTGCTGCAGCCAGTGTGTCAGTCTCTAGGCAACTACTAATCTACTTTCTGCCCATATGCATCTGCCTGTTCTAGATGTTTGTCCTTGTGTGTCTGATGGTCACACCTCAGCACAGTGTTTTTGGGTCTCTGTACATGGTAGCATGTCTCAGGACTTCTCTCTACAGCTGGGTACTGGTCTGTTGTATGAATGAACTGCCTTTTGTGGATCAGTTCATCTATTGACGGACACTTAGGTTACTTCTTCTTTGGGTTGTTGTGAATACCACTGCTATAAATGACCCCATGGATCTCACCCAGGCCTTAGGTGTGTGGTCAAAACCCCTGGCCTGCATCTTCCTCTCCCACGGATGTTCACAGCTTCTTGTCCTCTCTCTGAGCTCTGCCAACTCAGTAGGCAGCAGAGGCTTTGAGAAAGGTCTACTCACACCTGCTCCTTGAGCTCAGGGTATTTGAGCTTCTGGATTCCACAGAAGAGCCTTGTAGGGGTTGCGGGGAGCCAAGCCCTCCACTGTAGCGGCCCATGTGTCCTCCCTCTGAGGCTTGACTGCCCACCAGGGTGTTTGCGTCCCAGGTGAAGAATGGATGGCAAGGCATGAAGAAGTCATCCCTGGAGGATCTGGCCATGTGGCAGCAAGAGACCGAAGTGCACCTGAGAGAGGTGCAAGAGAAGGTGGACAGCCTCCCCCGGCAGGTGAGTAGAGATGGGGCATTTCTGTCCCTCTCCTGACCTAATCATACCCTTCCACTCCTCCTTTCCCTATCTCCTTGCCCTTCCCTCATACCTCCCCTTCTCTTTTCCCACCTCTTTTCTCTCTTTCCTTCTGTTCCTTTGCTACCCCTCTCCCCTTCTTCTCTTCCTCCCTTCACCTCCCCATCTCCTCCTTCCTCTGTCCCTTTCTCCTCTCCTCCCCCTTCCCCTTCATTCTCCTCTTTCCCACCCTGGCTCTCCCCTTCTCCTCTCCCCCCCTCCTCTGATACTCTTCCCTGTTCTTCACCTCCCTTCACATCTATTCTTCCTTCTCTCATTTCTCCCCTTCTCCTCCCTCCCTTCTGCTTCCCCTCCCCTCTTCCCCCTTGTTCTCTCTCCCACTCCTCCGCTTCTCTTCTCCTTCCACCTCTCCACCCTCCTTTCCTCCTCCCCCTCACTTCCTCTCACTTCTCTCTTCTCCCTTCCTTCCTCTCACCCTCCCTTCCCCTCCTTTTCCCCACCTTCCCATATTCCCTCCCTCTTCGACCTCCCCTCCCCCTTCCTTCTCCCCCCTGCATTTCTCCTACCCTCACTTTACCTCCCTCTTTTCTCTGCTCTTCCCCTCTCTTCCCCAAGCCACTCCTCTTCCCCCTTCCATTAATCTTCCTTCTACCCCTTCGTCCTTCCCTTCTCTCCCCTTCCCCACTCTCCTCCCCTCTCCCTCCTTTTTCTCCACTCTCCACTACCCAGCTGTTCCTTGAAGGCACTACCAGGGTGGGGGTGGCCTTGCCCTGTTAGCTGCGTGTAAGGGAGTTTCTCCAGGCTACCTGATCCTGTCCCCACTCCTGACCCTGCTCAGATAGAAGGTGTGTCAGACAAGTGCATTCTGCACAAGAGTGACATGGACCTGAAGATTGAAGTTGAGAGCAAAGCCAGGTGAGGGCTGACAGCATGGGCCACACATCCACCCTCACCCACTGCCTTTGCCCATCAGGTGAGGTAACTTTACTGTACCTGAGCCCCCTCCCGAGGACCCTCTCACTCAGGGGGCGGGACATGAAGCCCTCATGTTTCTATGGGAAAGGATGCTGACTGAACTGTCTCCTTACTCCCTGAAGTCCAGCCATCTCCCCAGGACTCTCTAGAACAGGGTGGCCTCATCCTCCACACCCACAGGGAGTTCCAGGTGGAGACACTGAGGCAGGATCTGGCTGCCCTGCTCTCCTCAGTGCAGCTGCTCAAGGAGGATCACCCTGGACGAAAGATTGCTGAGATCCAGGGCAAACTGGCCACGGTACCCCCGGGACCTGGCGAGGAAGGGGGACCAGGGCAGCAGAGAACTGGAGCATTCAGGGCAAACTGGGCATGGTAACCAGCAGATCCTGGTGGGAGAGGGCCTGAAGAACTGGGCACAGATGATTTCCAGGCATTTCTTGGGGTGGTTGAGAATAAAAGGCTGTGCCCCTCAGCCCCCTCACCCCCAGAGTCCCCCAGGCCATGACAACCAGCCCAGAGGAATTTCCTGGTGGAGTGTATCACCAAAGAAGCCCAGGAAGGACTTGAGGATGGGGGATGGGGCAGCTTCTCCTAGGGCCCCCTCCCTACCCCTATCTTATCATGATGGGGGGAATGTTGAAAGAAAGGGTGGGCACCCACTGGACGGAGAAGTCCTCTGGGGCCTGTAGCTGGGGGGATGTTCAGCTGGCCCTCCTGTGCCCCCTTACAACCCCTGGAGCATATTTAGTTCCAGAACCAAATTATGAAGTTGGAAAACAGCCTCCAAGATAACAAAACGATCCAGAATCTCAAGTTTAATGCAGAAACCAAGCTGGTGAGTGGAGGCGAGCTCGCTGGCCAGTCCGTGGGTGGGCAACAGGCTGACCATTTCACTCATCCTCCCCTCAGTCTGCTCAGCGTCTCCTGGCAGAGAAAGCCCTCCTAGTTAGAGACAGATAAGCTGCTATCAGCTGGCCCCTCCCCACGCTGTCCCCATCGCCCCAGCCCTTCCGTGACATCTGTCCCCCGCCAGCGGGTGGAGGAGATCGCCTCGCTTCGAGAGAGCATGCTGCGTCTGTGGAGTGAGGAGGGCCCATGGGCGCTGACCCTGGGGGGCCGACGGCTGCTCATGTCCCTGGTGCGCCAGCGTTTCTTCATCAAGGACGTCGCCCCCAGCGAGGGGACCTCAGTGAACCAGTGGGGCGTATACCAGGCCACCAGGTGGGGAGTGAGGCGGCCCAGGCGGGGTCTGGGCGGGTCTGGCAGGGGTCCATGGATGGCCTTTGAGCCACTCTCTGGCAGGTGGCTGCGGTGGAAGGCTAAGCTTCTGAGCCTGAGTACCCTACATAGGCCGAACTCACTCCCCGCACTCCCTGAGGAGGCCCAGCGCCCCGAGCCCAGCACGAGCTGCCCTTCTCGGCCCCTCCTCCACTAATAAAACAACGATTATGTCAGACTCTTCAGTGACCCCACATTCTGCCTGAACCCCCATTCCCTGCCAGCGAAGGATACCTGTCCAGGAGGATAGGGTAAAAGAGGAGTTAATTGGGGTGACCCAGGTCTTTCCAGAGACCTAGTCCCAGGAATCCTGGGTGCAACTGGGGCCCTGCAAAGCCTCCAGAGTCCAGGCCTGCACCCCCAACTCCTCCCCTCTGCAACCATAACAGTGGACTGGGCCTGTCGGTCCACAGGTGGGACTGACGCTCAGTGGGCTGCCGTCTGTGGGCAGGGCCTCCTCAGGCTTTTGGCCTCTAAGAACCGAGCTACCTGAATCTGGGTCACTAATAGTGTTTCCTTTCCAATTAGGCCCCCTGCCTCCAAGAAAACCCTGATCCACTCATCTAGAGCTGCTATCTGCAGAGTAGGCCTCCGACCTCACCCTGACTCTCCCCTCGGCCCACAAGACCAGTTGGGTGGGCAGTGAAGGGAGCAATCCGGTCTTGGCTGGTCTCCAACCCAAGCCTCTGCCCACAGCTTCTGGAGGCCACAGCTCCCAGCAGGTGCCCCCTTTCTGGGGGTGGAACTCCAAGGGACTAGTGGGTCACGAGGAGCTCCAGGTATCTGGGAGGCAGATAGGAGAGTTTGTGTGTCCCCAGCACCCACTTCTGTGACTCCGTGGGGCTCCCGGGGAGCCATTGAGGGCCGTAAGAGAATCTGTGTCCCCAAGTCCCCTCCAGTAACCCTCCAGGTGCTCTGGGGAGTCTTTCTGGACAATCTGGGTGTCCCTAGCGCTCTGACTAGGGCTCGGCCAGTGGCCCGCCTTCCAGGACCTCGCCATCCTCAGGGCCAGCCTCGGCTGTCCAGTTGGCCAGCAGGTCGCTGAAGTCGGGGGTCCTGGGTTGTAAGAGACCCAGGGCGCTGGGCGCTGGCTCCCTCCAGAAGGACTGTGGCAGCCGCCGCTGAGTCATGGGTGTAATGTGGCCATACTTTCGCTGCAGCCTCAAGCTGTGCTCGCCACTAGGTCCCGCGCAGCGCCCCAGCCCATACTCGAATAGCTCGGCCAGCGGCCCCAGCGGCGGGGGCGCGCGGGGTTCGCCGTGGTGGGGCGTCCCCTGGGCCTCGCGCACCAGGTCCGCGTAGTAGCGCTCCCGGGCGGACCTGCCCGCCGAGCGACCCTCCCCACGGCAGTCCCGGGCGTTGGGGTCCTGGCCCTGCTCCTTGCGGCCAAAGTACCTCTGGATGTCCCCGCTGATGAGCTCAGAGAAGCGCAGCAGCCGGCGCGCGGTCTCGGGGCTGCTTGGGCCTGAGGACACGGGGGCCCCGCCCGTGCTGGGGGGGACATGGATGCAGCTCCCGGGCCCTGAGCCCTCCAGCGCCACCTCCTCATCCTCATCCTCATCTTCCTCCTCTGAAGTCTCAGGAGCCTCCAGATCCAAGGGCGAGTAGGGCTGGTGGAAAGATAGCTGGAAATCGCACAGGGGCTGGGCCACCCTGGCTGCCATCTCCTCGCAGCTCCAGGACAGCAAGGACAGCTGGAGCTTGCTGGGGGCAGTTGAAGAGAAGGCAGGTGAACAGCCTGGAAAAATTGGTCTTGGAGCCCACCCCGCCCCCTATCTCGGTCCAAGACCTGCCCTGGGTTTGGAAGGGAGCAGAACCCTCAAAGGCTGGTGGCCCAAATGTGTTTAACTAGAAGGGCGGGGCACTGTGGGACTGGGTGGTGGGCTATGGGGACAGTGACATGGAGGGACCATCAGAATCATTGTGGGGCTAGGAATCAGTCGATCTTGAAGGACTCTTGAGGCCATGGGGATGCAGAGGAGACAGAGAAAGGTCACAGGGCCTGACCCACCCCATCTGAGTGAAAGGGTTTGGGGGCCCTGCTGGTGAACTCTCACTTTAGGATCTGGTTGCTATGGCGTCAGTACTGGTCTTGGTGGCTCATGGACAAACTGGTGTCTGCCAGGGGTGGACAAAGGCTAACCAGAGCCGAGAACAGACCAGGGTCCAGAGACAATGCCTGGTAGGGGCTGAGAAGGCTCAGAGATGTGAAGGGTGGTTGCCCTCCTCCCAGTGCTGGCCTTCAGGTCTCCTCTGATTCTGTTGCAGACACTAGAAAGGACACACTCCGCATCCTGCAACCTGGGAGAGGTCAGCAAAAGGAAGGGAAAGAGAGAGGAAGTGGGGATCCCCAAGCCAGGGATGGTTGAAGAAGGTGATTGAGCCAGGTCTTGACCAGAATAAGGAAAATTCTGGGAACGCCCGTGGGGTGAGACACCTCCTCTTGGCTAGCAGCCACCCTGGGGCTGATTCTGAATCCCAGAAGACGCCCAGTCCCCATGGACTGGAGACCAGGAGTTTAGAGAGTGGAAGGCCGAGTGTGAGACATTGCCTTCCTGAAATTCCTCCCAGAAATTCTCCTCCCCACAGGGTCTTGCCGGCTGCTGTGTGTCCCTGACACAGCTCACAGGGCTGCAATGGTCTTTTCAATAACCCTCCCTCTCAGAGATCAAGATTTTGGTGCCCCACTCTCTACCCAGCCTGCCTTTGTGGACCCTGCTCTGCCCAGCCCTGGGAAGCCTGGCTGCAATGCCCTCCTGGGTATGAGCAGTCCCTGTTGACCAGATCTCCTGTCCTGGGCGGAAGAACACACCGCCATACCTGCAGGGAGAGGAGACAATCCCAT